TTTACCAAACACTGAGTTAAGACCTAATACCCATCCTCCTTAAAGTTTTTCAAAAAGTAGAAAGGAGAGAATACTTCCAAACTCATTCTATGAGACCAGCATCACTCTAATACCAAAACCAGGCAAAGATAATACAAAAAGGAAAATTACAAACAATATCCCTGACGTACACAGATGCAAAAATAATCAACAAAATATTAGCAAACAAATTCACAAATAGATCAAAAAGATCATCCATCATGATCAAATAGGATTTATTCCAGGGATGCAAGGATGGTACAATATTAAAAAATCCATCAACATCATCCACTACATCAACAAAAAGGACAAAAACCACATCACCAACTCCATAGATGCTGAAAAAGCATTTGACAAAATTCAACATCCATTCATCATAAAAACTCTCAACAAAATGGGTAGAGAGGGCAAGCTAACTCAACATAATAAAGGCCATATATGACAAACTCAAAGCCAACATCACTTGATGGCGAAAAGCTGAAAGCTTTTACTTTAAGATTGGGAACAAAACAAGGATGCCCACTCTCCCCACTGTTATTCAACATAGTACTGGAGGTCCTATCCACAGCAACCAGACAACACAAAGAAATAAAACACATCCAGATTGGCAAGGAAGAAGTTAAACTGTCACTGTTTGCAGATGACATGCTATTGTGCATATAAAAACCTAAAGAATCCAACCCAAAACTACTAGAACTAATAACTGAATTCAGTGAAGTTGCAGGATACAAAATCAATACACAGAAATCTGTTGAATTCCTATATCCTAACGATGAACTACTAGAAAGAGAAATCAGAAAACAATTCCATTCACAATTTCATCACAAAGAATAAAATACCTAGGAATAAACCTAACCAAGGAAGTAAAAGACCTATACATACTCTGAAAACTACAAGACACGCATAAGAGGAATTAAAGAAGACAACAATAAATGGACATACATCCCGTGCTCAGGCCTAGGAAGATTTAATATTGTCAAAATAGCCATCTTGCCTAAAGCAATCTACAGAATCAATGCATTCCCTATCAAAATACCAATGGTATTCTTCAATGAACTAAAACAAATAATTATAAAATTCATATGGAACCACAAAAGATCCCGAAGAGCCAAAGTAATCCTGAGAAGGAAGAAGAGAGCTGGGAGGTTTACACTCCACATCTTCAAGGTGTACTAAAAAGCAAAGTAATCAAGAAAATTTGGTACTGGCACAAGAACAGATTCATAGACCAATAGAACAGACTACAGAGCCTAGATATAAACCCAAACATATACAGTCAATTAATATACAATAAAGGAGCCATGGATATACAATGAGGGAATGACAGCCTCTTCAACAACTGCTGTTGGCAAAACTGGACAGCTACATATAAGAGAATGAAACTGGATTACTCTCTAACCTCATACACAAAGGTAAATTCGAGATGGATCAAAGACCTGAATGTAAGTCGTGAAACCATAAAACTCTTAGAAGAAAATACAGGCAAAAATCTCCTGAATATAAACATGAGCAACTTTTTCCTGAACACATCTCCTCAGCCAAAGGAAACAAAAGTAAAAATTAACAAATTGGACTACATCAAGCTGTTTCTGTACAGCAAAGGACACCACCAGCAAAACAAAAAGGCATCCCACAGAATGGGAGAATACATTCATAAACAACATATCCGATAAGGGGCTAACATCCAAAATATATAAAGAACTCACACACCTCAACACCCAAAAAGCAAATAACCCGATTAAAAAATGGGTGGACAATATGAACAGATAATTCTCCAACCAAGAAATTCAGATGGCCAACAGGCACATGAAATTTCACATTGCTAATTATCAGGAAAATGCAAATTAAAACAAGATACAACTTACACCAGTTAGGATGGCCAGCATCGAAAAGACTAGGAACAATAAATGCTGGTGAGTATGTGGAGAAAGGGGAACCCTCCTACACTGCTGGTGGAAATGTAAATTAGTTCAACTATTGTGGAAAGCAATAGGGCTGTTCCTCAAAAAACTAAAAATAGAAATACCATTTGATCCTAGGAATTTAACCAAACAAAGCAAGATCCCAGATTCAAAAAGCCATATGGACCCTTATGTTTACTGCAGCACTATTTACAATAGCCAAAATATGGAAGCAACCTATGTATCCATCAGTAGATGAATGGAAAATAAGATGTGGTACATATATACAATGGAGTATTATTCAGCTTTAAAAAGAAAACAAATCTTACCATTTGCAACAACATGGATGGAGCTAGAGAGTATTATGCTCAGTGAAATGAGCAGTACGGAGAAAGAAAAGTACTAAATGATTTCACTCCTTTGTAGGGTATAACAACAAAGCAAAACTGAAGGAACAAAACAGCAGGAGACTCACAGACTCCAAGAAGGGACTAGTGATGACCAAACGGGAGGGAGGGAGAAGGGAATTTAGTGGCATTATGATTGTCATACATGGTGTGGGGGTTCACAGGGAAGACAGTATGGCAGAGAAGACAAGTAGTGACTGACCTCTCGCTATGCTGATGGACAGTGACTGCAGTGGGGTGTGGGTGGGGACTTGTTAATATGGGTGAGGGTAGTAACCACAATGTTCTTCATGTGAAACCTTCATATGAGTGTGTATCAATGATACCTTAATAAAATAATAATAACAATATGTCACCTGAAAATAATGACAGTTTACTTCTTCCCTATCAATTTGGAAGTCTTTTATCTCTTTGTGTTGTCTGATGTGCTAGGACACAGGGGGCTCTCCATGCTTCCAAGGCCTGAGTGTCTATTTCCTTCCACAGATTGGGTACATTTTCAACAATTATTTCCTCAATGATACCTTCTATCCCTTTTTCTCTGTCCGCTTCTGTTGGTACCCCTATTATGCTAATATTGTTGTGTTTGGATTGGTCGCACAGCTCTTATCATTCTCTCATTCCTAGATATTCTTTTTTCTGTTTCTCAGCTTCGTGTTCCTATTCTCTAATTTCCATCTGATTGTCTCCTCTACTTGCTGCAGTTATTTATTCCCTCTATTGTATGTTTCATTTCAGTTACTGTATTCCTCAGCTCTGAACATTTCTTTTTCAGCTCTTTTATCTCTTTGTTGTAATCCTCGCTGAGATCTTCAATACTTTATGCAGATCTGTGATCATATTTATGACTGTTCTGTTGGAATCTTTACAAGAACATCTGTGATTTCTTTCATTTAGCTCTCTGGTGTCTTATCCTGTAGTTTTGTTTGGATCTTATTTCTCTGCCTTATTTTGTCTGGGTTTCTGTATTGCTTTTTATCAAATGGAGCTGCTATGTTTCTTGGTCTAGAAAGTAATGGTTTTATGAAGAAGGCATCCTGTGGAGCCTTTGCTGTGGAGCCCCATTTGCTATTGGTGGGTAACAGGAGGGGCCGTCTATCTGTCTCTCTGCTGGCAGTGGTCTATCTCAGTCTGCAGAGGCAGCAGTTTGCCTCAGCCAACCCTTTATGATCAGAGCAGTGGCTTCTTCTTCCCTGCAGCTACGGCAGTACTGCTGGTTTAACAGAGTGGGCAGGGTAGTCGCACAGTTTGTTGCACAATGTCAGAGTATGCAGGCTTGTGATAGCAAGTTGCACAGTTGTAGAGCAATGATGCACAGCAGTGGCAGCAAGCAGAGCAGTGGGAGGGAACATGGGCAAGTGGGCATGCAGTGGTAGCAAGTCACATGGTGCAAGGCTGCACCAGCAGTGGAGGTGAGTTATGCCACTGCACAAAGTTGCTGCAGTGAGTTGCATAGTACCAGGTTTGGCTGCCTGCAGGAAGGCAGGAGCACTCAGAGCTGGCTCCTGCAGCAATAATTGGCTTGAGACAGGGCCAAAAAGGCTGGGAGAACCTCCCTCTGCCCACTAGGCAGCAAAGTCTGATGCTGCTGGGCCAAGTGGGGCTGGCTCACCAACAGTGCACAGAAGTGAGCCTCAGTGCTGAGCCACCAGCAAGGGGGATGGAGCATCTGAGGCTCCCAAGAGTGAGCAACCTATTGGGCTGAGGGAGGGCCAGGGAAGTTTCATCCACCTGCCCTTTCTACTGAGAAAAGAGCTCCATCCAACCCTCGACCATCTGGCACCCCTCCCACTGCTGGCAAGTCTTTCAAATTGCCACCTCTTCTTTAGGTCTCAGTGGGACCAGCACAGTGTGCCTGTTCTCCACCTATGGCCAGAGTTTCAGCCTCCCAGAATGTCCCAATTGTCCCTGGTGTCAGTCCCAGTAATCACCAGAACCTAATGTAACGTGGACTCATGTTCCTAGAGCAGATCTCCAAGGCCAGGCGTGCAGAGTTCCTAGGCGCCTATCCCCTCCCCATTCCAATCCTCTTCCTCCCTCCTGTGGGTTTGGGATTGGGGGAAGGGCTCGATCACAGCTCTGCCACTCTACTCTTTTCTGTGTGGTCTTCTTTTCTTCACCATGTATAAGTCTGTTCTGCAGTCGTCAGGTCATTTTCAGGTTTAGCTGTATTTATTGTAGTTGCTTCCTTGGTATGTATGTGGAAGGAGGTTTCCCCCTTGTCTTCCTACTCTACCATCTTGAGCCTGCCCCACTGGCCTTATGTTTTTTTCAACTTCATGAGGCCTTGCCTAATCCCTGTGCTGAAGCCCTTTTATGTTGCTTGCTCTACTTTCACAGATACAAATTTTTGACAGGTGCCTCATGGTTTCTTGAATCCTTATATAGTTAAAAAATTCCCAAAAATTTTCTATTTCTTAAAATAAGATGCAATTAAATAATACACTGAATGATACACTGACTTCTTGGAAAGACCAAATATTTCTATCTATAACTTTATTGTTTTCATTTATTCTTATACAAATTCTACATTGACCAAAAAAAAAAATTATTTGTAATTCAGTGAGTTAAGAATTTAAAATTAAAGTATCTGTATTGTAGATAACATGACACTGCAATAATAAGGCTTGCTGTAATAAGTAAACGTTTCTTTTACATATTTCTAAAGCATTACCTTTAGTGTAATCAACAACTGCTTCCAAAGCTGCTATCCGAATGTCCACGAAGTGGCCATATTCTACATAAGATTTAAAAAGAGCTGGATCACTTGGCACATGTCCATTCTTCTGAAGCACTCGTATGGCTCTCAGACAACTAGGTAAATAGTATTTATAATTAAGTATTTTTGTTAAAATACTTTGAATCAAACCAACACATTGCTTAGGCATTAGAAATTAATTTATAACAGTTAACTGAAAAATTGATGTGACTTGAATCCACCTTTTAATTTTGTGACATTGAATTTTTGCATGGTCAAAAAAATTAAAATATGTTAGTCACATTAAAAGAAATCAAATTTTAAAATTTGTTTAGAAATCCAATTTCAGGTAATATTATACTTATAACAGGAACACAGTCCAGAAAAATGTATTTAATATGAAACATATTTTAAATAAAGTATATTCTCCAAAAATTTTAGTAATATGTAGTTTTGTCAACAATACATATAGAAGGTTAAATTGGTTCATAATGTTTGATTCAATAAAACAACTTTTTTAAGCAAACTCCCAAATAAACAGAATCTTTCAATAGCCATATACAAAGAAATTGAGAAAAGTGAAAAGTCATTTTCAAAGAAGCCTAACAAAAGAGGGACAATGCTACTATATCCACTGGGATAAAAGATTACACAGACATAAAAAATAATACTTCTGAAAAATTTCTGATAACATGAGAAAATGTTTATGATATGAGCAGAATACAAAAACTATATATAAAATGTAAGTCAAGTAATTAAAAATATATACAGTTACAAGGGGGAAAAATTTAGGCAACCATTCTCCAAAATAGTAGTAATTCACCTGTAGGTGATAGAATCACATAGGATTTTTTCTCCTTCTACTTGACAATATTTCCCAATTTTCTATAAAGAGAATAAATTTCTCTTACAATTACAAAAACAAGTAAGTTTAAAAGAAATGTAAAGAATCATCATACCTGACAGTGATGGTGTGTCTGTAACTTGGAAGAAGTTTTTCCATATTCAGAAACCTAGTGATTTCTTCCAGAATGAGTTGTACATCTGGATTTAAGTTATCCAAAGTTCGAACTTTATTATTCACACTGACAGCAGGTGTAACAGAGTTGGCAAGGGCATCAATCATTTCTGCACGATAATAGTTATCTGAAAACTAAGCCAAAAAATAATTACAAGAAAACAGAATTCATGCTTCTGTTCAAAAATCAATAAAATGAAATACATATAACTTAAAAACATAATTTATCTGAAACACAAGCAAGTTCTCTGGTAAGTATTCAACTCTGTACTTTGTATAGAGTCACACATTGGAAAAAAGAGATCACTAATTAGTAATACATTAGTTTACTCAATCAATATTTATTACATATATAAGATATTCTTATAGTAACCTAGGAAGATGCCTGTAAAAGGAAGACCATAGTTCACAAATCCTGCTGGTCACACTGAGCTTCAAATCAGCTATTTAGTGCTCTACTCTCATACATAAACATACAGCAGAGAATCACCAGATACAGTGAAGAAAGCATCAATGCAAGAGTGATCAGAAAAAACAGAGGGGAATAAAGCAACTTGGAGGAAATGGGGTCTGCAAGGAAAAGGAAACCAATGGAGGGGTGGAGGGATAGACACCCAAAACTATCATTAACATTATCTAAGAAATAACCAATGATATGCCTTCCAATAGCATAACATATTTTAAAAAGAAATATGCAGAGAATCAGAATTAGAATTAAGTTGGAATACAAAAGAAAAAACTTCAAAATTTTAGACAAAAAAAAAGAGGTTAAAAAATAATAGGAAGAATAGCACAAGGAAATTGGAGGGCTGATATAGAAGACATAACATATGAGTAATAGTTTTAGCAGAAGCAGAGAAAATGGAGGAAGAAACATAAAAAAATAATAAAAAGAATTCCTAAATCCATATCCCAGTCAGTTCCCAGAGAAGCAATTTAGAGAAAGGCAATCTGGGTGTGGCTTGATTTAAACTCGGTAAATTATATATTTATATATATATATATATGTGGTCCATGACAGGAATGTGAACACAGAGCAAGTGAATTAATTCTACGAGCAATTTGGGGTGTACGTTGTGACAACACAAACTGCCAGGGGATGGAGAATGAACACCTGCCCCCTTTTGAGTTCCACTGTGAAGGCAAAACCTCACATTAACTAACACACATGACAGAGTGCCTAAACATTCCTGTTTACTGGGCAGTAAAAAAATAGGCAGACAATAACAAAACTAAAGAAGAAATATTCCACCAGTGTTCACTAAGGACAAAGTTTTGTTTTCAAGCCTTTCTAATGATTGAAAAATTAATCTCTACAATTTCAGTTCTCTAATCCTAATTCTACTCCCTGGAGCCAGAGAAAATATTTATGGATTTTTTTTAGCCATGCTAATTTTATTTTCACATTGTTGTACTTATCAGCCTTTTCTTGTATGGTTTTCAAATTTTGTTTCATACCTAGAAAGGCCATTTCTATTCAGAGACTATTCAAATTTTGTTTTTTGAAAACTTACTCAAAAACAGGTTTTCTTCAAGTATTTTTATAGTTTCACTGGCTACCTCTAATAACTACTTCATCAACAAAGAAAGAGGCCATTTATTTAACCATTGTTTCTGACCTAAGTATTGAGACCACAGAATGAAATAAAAAATGAGAAGGGGGTGTGGGTGAAGTAGGAAAACCAAAAGATTTACCACTCAAACCACATCCAACTGTCACAGATACTATAATCCTAACTGAGCACGTGAGATTATCTGATCATCCCAAGGTTATAAGAGAGAAAATGAAGAAGAAATAATTTGTGGAAGAAAACGGGGGAGCACAGGGGAGGCATTTTGTAAAAATTCCTACAAAAAATCAATATCTGAAGGTATCGATATCAATGTACTACAACAGACAGATGTTTTTAATGATCCTTAGGTATCAGGAATAGCTGAACCCATGTTCTACACATCTTACTTAAGAAAACAGAAAAATTTTATAGACCTAACTAGGCTTAAAGGGGATTAAGCTTTAGTCCTCTTGAAAACTAACTCATCCAGAATACTGAATTTCATGCTCTTGCCCAATTAATTAAATGTTAAAATACTTAAAAATATTTTCCCCATATCCCCGTCTTTTTGGCACTTAATGTTTTGCATGTATAATTTAATTTTACTTGTAGAAAATCCATCATTTCTTCTCATGCACTTTAAAAACTTTTCTCTATGTAGTGAACCTTTTTTTTTAAATATGCTTAACCAAAGCCATCAGAAATATATTATTTGTGGTTGGAAGTAAAGTATTTTAAAACCAAAGAAACAAGCCAACCAATAAAGTATTCTTAAGGTACCACCCAATCACATCTTTTGTTCCAGTTTTAATATTTTAATCTATATATCTTTAAATAACAGCAAAATATTTTTTTCCCAAACCACAAAAGAATAAGTTTGTTATCAGACAGATCTGGGTTTGGCTCCTGGCCCTGCCACACACGTGACCTTGGGTAAATCCGTTAACCTTTTTAGCTTCCATCTCCTTACATGGAAATTGAGTTATACTATCTATACCAGAGGCCTCATGAGGGTCATATTAAGTTATCCATGTTTTGCTACAAGCCATGGAACAAAAATTAACTATTATTGTTACTTGCATTTTTCTATCCTTAATATCTTCAGGGATTAAGATATATGCTAGTCTTAATACACAGCAACTAACTGTAACAACTGATTAGCCTTTTCAAAATTAAAATGAGTCTTATGTTGTTCCACAAAAGTAATGAAATGTAAAATATTGCAATCATCATGTACCTCACAAAATCATAAATGATGACACGTATGACAGCATTATGTAAAATATCATGGTATACTAAAAATACCACCAAACAGATGGTAAGCAAGAGTTCATGCACAATTCCCAATTACATTTCCTGTGTAATTTCACATGCTCAACCCTGTGTTTGCTTTCGTTTGTCAAATAAAAGTAACAAAAACCTTCTACAAAATAAGTAAGGTTTAAAGGAATTAAGGTAAGTGAAATCAATTTGCAAAGTAGAAAGTACTGTACAAGGGCCCACGTGAGTTCAAGTATATGCACTCCCCAAGATGAGAAAACTGATATAAATAATTGCACAAAGTATTTTCCTGCTCCATTTGAATATAATCTTATTTGACACCATCCCAAACCCTTAGTTTATATCTTCAAATGAAAGAATTTCATGTGTAGAGGAAGGAAGAAATTTAAAATAAAAGTCAAAACAAACCTACCAACTAGGAAATAAAGAATCCTCCAAAAAGTTTTAACAGTATTCAAAAATGGAAAGGAAAAAGCTTATCAGCTATAATGTATTATTTTAAAGCACTAATTCTTTAAGGACTCTTTTTAGCTTAAATCATGTGAATATAACTGTACTGCCTTAAAGAGGAAAAATTGCCTTCCTGATTTTCATGATGAATTACCATTTTTTAATAAACAGTTGTGACGTTTTTTTTTACTGTTGTAATGTTTCATTAAACTTTTATGAATTCAATGTGTGTCTTTATATGTTCTGTTCTTTCTGTCTGAAAACAACCTTCCTATACTGGCCCTATTCATAGACTGGGAAAATCCTATTCATCTTCATGAGTCAGTTTAAGGGTTAACTCTTAAGTACAAAACTCTCCTGAGTCTTTCTCTCCTTACTCTTGGAAAAAAGCACTACTTCCTCTGAATTCCCCTAGAAAATTGTGTGAAAGCACTTCCACTATCGCAGTTATGAATGACTACTAACTGTTTAATTGTCTGATTTCCCATTAGTTCTAAATTCTTGAGGGCCCAGAATCAGACTGTGATATACAGCAGTTGTTCAATAGGTGTTTAATGAATAAATGAGATTCCAGATAGCATCTACCATCTCTTCTTTCTATTTAACATGGTACACTGCCTAACATGGCATATATTCTCAAAAACATTCGCTGATTGATAGAATAACAAGGTGAAATAACTTTGGAAACATGACATTCAATAACTAGTTGCTAAATAAATTAATAAACACACAATGACAAAAAAGAAAGAAGTCAAATTTATCAATAAACAAGTTATTCCATGAGAGAACTGCTTTCTGAGTATCATTTGATAAAAGAAAAAAGAAATAAAATAAAATTGGACTTTCAGACTTCACCCAAACGAGTTTTAGCTGGCTCTCCAAAATATGATGCACTACTTCCTATATACACATTACAACAGGTAAGAGAGTAATAGTTAAACCCAACTAAGCATGGTTTTCATCCACTGATTATTATAAATTATGTTTGTATATTTCTATCTCTAGAAATTCCAAGTACCATGGACTCAAAATGATTTCTTAAATACTTCTTTAAAATACTGGGTAGTTTTATAATATTCACTAAAATATCTTACCTTGTTCTTTCTGTTGTCATTGTACTTGATTAAGTCTAATAAAAATGTTAAGACTTCTTTGGGACAAAGGTTGTGAACATCTCTCAATAAAGCCATTGCAACTGGCATAGTCTACAAAAAAAAAACATTTTTTTTTAAGTGTAGATCTAACTCTTTCATTACTACAGTTCATCAAAGTACTTGTAGAAAAAGGCTACTCTGGACTGACAAAGGTATCTAGATGGAGCCTGACCCCCCCTAACTTTGACCCCTTCTCATTGGGAATATGTCTCAAATATTCTAATAAAAGAGAAGAGCAGGGCTTCACTGAAGGCACTCTGTGGCCCACGTGCCTTTGTCTTTACTTGTTGGAGGAAAGTACATGTAATGTAAATTATATCAGTCTAGATCTGTGTTTTATAGTGGAAAAAGTATGGGTTTTAACGTTAGATAGGCCATTATTCAATTCCTACTCTACACCTACTAGGATGGATTATTTTAGCTAGTCGCTTTCTAAACAGGAGCCTAGTTTCCACAATCATTTTTAAAATTAAATGATACAGTGGTTAGAGGCATGTGGCAGACAGCAGAGTTCAGTCATCAGTCTGAGAAGACACACTGTTTCTCCAGTACCAACCCATTCTCAGTCTAAGAAAAAATAGTGAGTTTTCTGAAATCCAAACTTTCTTTCCAAATTTTCATAGGCAACTTTTCTAAGGAGGTAGAAAACTGACTCACACACTGGTAAAATCTACCAGTAAAACAAAGCTATTTAAACTCATCGCAAAACCACAGATGAATAGACATCACAGTCTCAGTACACAGAGAATACTGGATTATCTCCTCTTCTGATTTAAAATAACTACAGCCTCCAAACTGGGGGATAAAATGGAGCATGGCTCCTTTGCTTGTTTGAAGGACCAGAAGCAGCAGCATAGTCAGTGTTAGAACACTGTAACAATAGTCAGTGTTAATGTTGTATGAAAAACTGAAGGAAGGGCTCTTTTCCCCAGAAATATCTGTCCCATGCCTACCTGCCGTTCTGGTACTCAATCTGATTTAGATACTAATCTCTCTCTCCTTTCTGCCACTAGAAGTATTATGTGAAAAGTTAACTGGTCTAAAAGTATTGATTTTCCAATTTTTTTTACCACAACCCATGGTAAGAAATACATTTACATCCAAACCTAACATACCAAACACACACATACAATTTAAATGCTACATATACATACTAAAATTAAACCCAAATAACCATAACCTACCCTCATTACATGGGGTGCATTCTGGTATTGCCTATTGTTTGCTTTTATTTTCAAAACAAAAAAAAATTTCAAAACTTATTTCATGACCCCCCTCACTAATGGCTCGCAACTCCCAATATGAAACATTGGTATGTGGAAACACAATGGCATAACAAAGCTGACATATTGGGTAGACACAGAAATTAACTTGCTTCCATACCATAAATTAGTGAAATGGAAAGAGAGAGCAGAACAATGTTTGAGTACTATCAAATGTTCAGTTCTTAAAAATAAAATAACTGGTTGCCAAAGACTTCTTTCATCACCCCAATATTGGCCTTCCCCAAACCTGGATCATTCTGAATTTGTTTAGTGAAAGCACTATAAATATATCAATAATTCCACTCTCAGCAGGTGTCTCAATGTTGCTGGGTAATCCTTTTCCTTTTCCTTTTATCATATATGAATCTCACTGTGTCTAAGATTCCCCTCAATATCTATTATTTCACTTACTTTTAATCTGCTTTTCACCTCCCTCAGAAAAAGGAATTTCTTCTCTTGTAAATTAACCTCCCAACTGTGTCTACCCACTACTAATGCCTCCAAAATCTGTTCGATCTTTTCTTTTTTATATTTACTTGCTCTCACTTGAATATTTCATCCCTCCCTCTCCACTAGTTTCTTTCTGTGCCAAACATGCAAGTTTTTTCTTCTCTCTATACAAGCAAATCCAAAATATCTCCTTCTCAGCTCTGCTTTATCCTCAAATGTCTCCTTTCTCAGACTCTTTTAACACCAAACTCATGAAAGAATAGGCTTTTCACTCCTCCAAATTCAATCTAGTTAATCTAATCTCTGCCTTCATTATTATTAAATTACTCAGAAGAATTTTACAAATAACTTTCAAATTGCCAAAAGCTAACCACTCTGCCACAGTCACATCCCTACCTAAACTAGTGACTCCATCACAAAACCACTTTCTAAATTAACATTTATAGAAAATTTACTATGTGATAGACAAAGTAAAACATTTCACATACATGATCTTATTTAACTCTAAGAAAGATAAATTTTACAATTAAGTAAACTGAGGCTAAGAGGGTAAGAAATGTGTCCTTGTGCAAACTGCTGGTGAGTAACACAGCCGGGACTGAAATTACAGCTATATGCTCTACTATCTCTGAATCAAATATGCTGCCCACAGTCTAGATGGACTGCCATCAGAAGGACTGACCCACAGCTCTATCCCCCATGTAACCCACCAACCAGAAGGTCAAATTATCCATTTCTATTGACTTTAGTTATTTAATATGGATAGTGAGTTACTTGCACATAGCTCATAAAATTAATGAGCAATCTATCAAAATTTTTGAAAAAATTTTAGAAGCAAAAAAAAAAAAAAGAGTATGGCAAAACCTTTTGTAAGAAAGTAAACATACCTATTATCTGAATAGTCCCTAAGTTAAACTGAGATATATACAGAGAGTGGTATAATACAATCACAAGAAAATTTGAAAGTAAACTGTACCTTCTGTAGAAAATAACTTTGAAAACTCATAAAATTGTTTGTTTTCACAATGTTTGGACAAGTTTTACAACAAAACATTCTAGTAAAGAGTGACTTCATGGCTGGTGGTCCTGTCCATGTGTTCACCATTGAATTTGCAATCTGCAAATAATTAGAAAACAAAAGAATTTCTATCACCACTGCAAATACATTTTAAAATATATACAATAGCTTTCTAAAAGTTATCAATACAACTGGATTAGTTTTCAATACTGTTCAATTCTCAGAAATTTAATACATTTTAGCCTTTCATTATCATTTCCAAGAAAATAAACTCAATGCTCCCCAAAATTTCTTATGTATACTTACAACTACTTTCTATTGTTAGCTTCTAAATTGAAGCATTCTCTTATGTTTTAAGAACATGTTTGCAAAAGGCTTCTATTCTGAATACATTTGTCTTTGTCCAATTAGGCAGATGTAATTTTAATATTTTAAATTTATCAGATAGAAATATCACCCTGGATTTTAAAAATAAGGTTTTTAATCTATCCTAACTGAAAAACAAGCCAAGTACAGTGCTACTATTCAGGAAGTAAGAAAATGCTTTCCAGAAAAACTACATCTTGCTATTTATACTTTAAGTGTATATAAAAAATCAAGTCTGTTTTTAGCGTAATAAAAATGTTCATTTTCTTGAAAAAAAAAAACAAAAACAAAAAAACTCGCTGCCTGCCCTGCTGAGCATGACTTCCCTGGCCTGTGATAGCCAGACTGGGGAACATCACCTGTGAACTGGTGCTCAAATGAACTGCCTGGTCCTTTAAAAAAAAAAAAAAAAAAAAAATCAAGTCTGAAAAGAATGAAATTATAACTAACTTTAAATAACATAGTCTATAATTTTATGGACCGAAGAATTTAGTATGCAAAAATCACAAAGCTCTTTAAGAAACAATAAAACTATAACCTTAGCATATAATAATCAAAGAAAATCAATCATGTTTTCTCACATACATCTGAGTAGAATATATGAATCCAACTACTCACTAGTTACCTTTAAGGAAAGAACAAATCTAAACCATTATAACCTGCTGAAATGCTGGACGAATGGATGTGGAAGGCAAGAGAGTCACTAAATGGGAATGAGCCTATTACTATGATGCTTTTTAACCTAGTATTTCTGGCCAAACTTTTGTCTGTTTTTTCTGGTTTTCATATTCTTCCTTTAGCGTTTTTTGCATCTAAAGAAAAATATTTAGTTTTCTTAATAAATTAACTTTTCTAGCATGTTAAATTATAGAACCTATCATTTTTAAGTGATGTATCACTAATACTGATTACTAAACCTGAACCAACATGAAATCATCATCACAGTGGGATAATAAAGATGAACTGATTTCATGTACTATAATATGAAAAATCACTCAAAACCAAGGAATTTCTTACCTAAGACATTTTTTGCTTTAACAACATGGTTGGCGACTGAATAAAATGGTGAAAGATTCCTTCATTTTATTAAAATCTGATGTTCATCTTGACAATTATAAAATTTTGATGCCTTTATTGTCAGACCAAAATATGTTTTTTTCAAATCAGTCTTATTAAACATTTGGCAAAAGCCTTCAAGGGACTAGCTAGCAAGTAAAATTAAAAAGTACAGTGAATTTTAATTTATTTTCAATAGCAGCAGTCATCTTGTTTTCTTTCTCCTGTACATAACCTCACCTTTGCAAGGCAGAAGCAAGCTGACATTCTCACTCGGTAGAAACACTGCTCCTGTTCTAGTATGTCAGTGAGTGCAAGGCGAGATGCTGGAGTAGGGAACTTTTCCAAGGCCAAAATGGACTCCTGTTGGGCAACAACATCCCTCTCATAGCGGAGCTGGTAGTGCCACATAAAATCTGCTCGTTCAAATTCGACTTTTCTCAGTACCGACATATCTGGGTCTATCCTTATCCACAGCAAAGGTGAATCAGCACTGAAAAGAAAATACAATTTTCATTTTTATTTTTTCAATTTTATACATTTAAAAAACAAAGCACTTATTAATCAGGTTGCCTTTTATATGTAGTATTCAAGACTGCCTGAAATTTTACTGTATTCATTTTTTTTAATCACACTGACAACTTTCTCATTATGTTTAACATATTTCAACTCTCTCACAATGTCCAATCTATTATCAGTCTTGCTAAAAAATAAAAAGGTCTCCAAGGATAAGAAGATAATCATCACAAACAAATTCCATCTGAAGATATTATTTGGGATTTTGACTTTTGATTATGTGATGTGAAAAAGGGGAATGAGACCAAATTTCTCCATATCATTTCTATAACCTAATATTAATTATGGCTATAAATGCCACCTTTTACTAGAAATCAATCTGTGATTATAAAATGAATTCATATATTTTAATAAATTAGTTTTTTAAACAGACTTTTAATATTACTTTTTTAAATGCTAGACTCACGATCACCATTTTCAAACACTATTTGGAGGCATATCATGAGTTTATCCTCACGAACTTCTTGAATTAACAAGTAATTAAAAAAACAGTCTATCAATGCTTCATCAAAAAAAAAATCTACTGTGTCAACACTTTTACCAAAAGAATATCACCTGATATTATGCTCAGTGAAATAAGCCAGGCGGAGAAAGACAAATACCATATGATTTCACTTATTTGTGGAGTATAAAAACAAAACAAAACAGAAGGAACAAAATAGCAGTAAACTCACAGACACCGAGAAGGGACTAGTGGTTACCAAGAGGGAGGGGTTGGGAAGGGTAGTGGAAAGAGTGAAGGACATAAAGGAGCACAGTAATTTGCAATCACAATATAAGTTGGTCACAGGGATGGTAGTACAGCACAGAAAATATACTCAATGACTCTTTAACATCTTGCTACACTAAGAGATAGTAACCGCACTAGAGGGGGTGAGGATTTAATAATACGGGTAACTGTATATATTTGAAACCAACATAAGATTGCATACCAATGATACTTTCATTAAAAAAGAAAAAAGATCACTTGAAATACTAATTTCAATTCACCAAATACTACTGGGTGCTTCACTCAATAGTAAGGGTAAGGCAGGCACTTGATATGGAAAAATTAAATAAATGGTATAAAAACAGTACTAATAACCAAGTTAGCTCTAATTACATCTGTTTTTTAATATTACAGGTGTTTTATATAAAACATATATATAGGCACAATATGGATGGACAAAATAAAGCTTGAGCAATATTATACTTAAAATGAAATTAATTAATAAATATTAACACCTAAAATTTAGAACAGTGATATTTAAATTGTTTTGCAAATATAGAAAGGCTCAAAGCACCCTGGAACTTGTTCAAAGACAAAGAAAATCAGTATCACCTGAGAGCTTATTAGAAATGCAAGCTAGTGCTGGATCATTAATTTCATTTTAAGAAGATCCCCAAGTCAGTGGCAAGCACATTAGCTTGTTAAAAATTTATCTCCAAGGATAAGAAGATAATCATCACAAAGAAATTCCATCTGAAAATATTAATTTGGGGGTTTCAATCTGTAATTATGTGATGTGAAGATAGGGGAATAAGACCAAATTGCTCATTTTGGGTAATTTGAGAAGCACTGCTCCAGAGGACAATAGGGGTGTAAAAAACCTGCTAATCCACAGCTGTGCCCACTCCAGTCATCCTGTATTTCTTCTTAATTTCACCTGGACCAAGCTAAATTTACTTTTCTCTTTTTGATGAATTATGATTTTATGAAGATTTGTCTTTAACATAAGGCTTCTACTGCCTTTCAAAAGTTTTAAAAGCACTAATTTAGGACATTTACATACTTTCAGATATACATAACAGACAAATGAGAAGGCAGAAAATACATGTTTAAACTAACTTACTCCATTGCAGAAAGGTCCATATCAACTTCTTCTCCATTCATCAGTGGAATTTTTTTCTTCTTATTCCTACATTTAAGGAAAAGTAAGTTTGAAAATTGTGACATTTCTAATTCTGAAAGGAGAAAAATACCTGCTGATGTTCAAATTAAAGATCTCACACATTGAGAGATATACTAAGGATGAAGATATCCTGAGGATGAATTTAAACACAACAAAATCTATTTTGAAGCTGAAGGGAATGAAGTAAATGATATTGAAATGTCTCCCGGATCAGTTTAACAAAAAGCAGAAATACATAATTAAATGTAACTTAAAGCATTCCTAAGAACTGGTAGCTGCAGTTTTATATAGAAAAGATAAGAGATCTATCAGTAAAGAAATTCTTTATTAAGAAAATGAAAAATTAACCAGGCCTAAAATGAGACATGAATAATTCTGAACATGTGCTATATATTGGGAAGGTGTTATCCTATATGAAATGAAATAAATGATTTACTAGAAAACATCTTAACAGTACTAATTAATACAATTAATATCCAAAAGATTTAAGATATGCCAAAATAAAAACAACTGCTTCTCTGCAAATTACTCCTAAATCACAAAATCTACTGGATACCAGACTAAAAATATGGATGAGGACAAATTAAAACAGGCAACAGGATAGAGGCTTCCTGTGCTCCTCACACCAAAGAATACTCAAACGACATATGGAAGAAAAACCAGAGGAAATGCTATGCAAAGGATAGCAATCAGATGTTCCCAATTTCAAAGACAGACAGCACAATAAAGGGGGGATTTCACTCTGAACTAAGAATCTTCACAGAGACAGAATGGTTACAGGGAGATTTCAGAATCAAGCTCTCAGACGACTGTCAAAATCAAGTGACATTCTCATCTGTCTGAGATGACCTAATGTAGTCTAGTCTATAGTAAGTCTACAATGTAAAGTCTCAAATGAATATGACTTGTGTTCCTGAAATTCTGATACTACTACATTTTTCACCAGCAAAGCGCAAAAATGTTCTCATCTGAAATCTTCATAAGAGTGTATATCAATGATAACTTAATAAAAAAAAATGTTCTCATCGTTCACTATTCAAAGTACATGCAAATGGCTGAGTAAAAAGAAAAGAGTGGTAAAGAAAAATATATTACATAAAAGATGAACTTCTACACTTTTTAAAATAAACTGACAATGTGTCTTTGAAAGACATCAAGAATGTTCTGTAAAGGTATGGTGGTGATACAGAGAAGAGAGACAATATAAAGAAGACGCAAGGGCTTTTCATGACACGTATTCAGATCCTTCCTTCATATTTAGTGATCATTTCCCAATATTTCCTGCATAGATTACTCCAGTGAGACTAATAAGCATGAACCTAAGCAATTTTTCTTGAACTTTTCCTGGCTCCGAAAACTCACATTTCCATTCTACCTCCCCCTTCCCCTACAAAATAAAGGATTCTCAAACTTAAATTTTTAAATTAGTGATTAAATTCTATGGATAAAAATGTCAAAATATTAACCAAATAAATGGGGAAAAAAAGATAAAGGTAACACTGTTCTCTACTCAAAACATTAGGATTTTTATTTTGGCATTTTAATCTGTGAGACTTATAGTTGTACTATAAACTTCAGTTACAGTCATGATTCAATGCCTACCTTCTGCTTTTGGAATGGCAGGGTATATCATGTTTAAGGCTGTTTTCTTCAATTTGCAATGTATGATTAAAGGATCCATCTAATTCTTGCACTGTCACTTTAAGTGGTCCCTTTAAAAAGAAACATACTAATTCAAAGACAGTCCTAGAAAAATACCAGTATGTATTTTTATGTGTACAGGTATATATAACCAAGATATAAAATAGTACTGTACAAGATGTGTATCTGGAGGCACAGGAAGGTAATTGGTACCAAAGGAGGAGAAAAGTGGGCAAATCTGTTCTCCTGTAATCTCCATCTACAGCCTCTCTTACCTTCATTTACACTTGGTGTTTTCCTATTTTCATTCTTTGCAAACAAAATCCCATTATGAAACTTCTAACCAGCTCCCCACCCATAACCCTTCCTATTCTGAAACAGGGGAGTAAGCATTGCAACAGGCCATTTTGGAATAAACCTACCACATATTTCTGAGTTCCAGGAGATGTATAATCTTGTTTTATTTCCAATTCCAAGACATTTCGTTTTCTATTAAATGCAAAACTTCCATAAAATTTTACCACTCCACTCTGGTCTCTGAAGAATTGTAAAGGGATCTTTGCATACTGAAATGAATATATACTTAACAAAATAAATGATTCATTATGGTAGTAATAATTTTCAAATGTATTCCCACCAGTTCAAAGCTTCAGAGCACATTTCACTGTAAACCAGGTGGCATAGTATTCAAAATTCTTGTGAAAATGTTAACCCAGATTTAAACAAAATTTCTGAAACGTTAAGAAATTTGTGTTTTGAAAGAAGCAAAACCACTTTACTGGGTTATTAATGTAATAGTATTTTGAAATGAAAAATGTAAAAACTGAGAAGTTCCAAGATACTACTTAAGCTATGCCAACCTCTAACCACATTTAAAAGCAACTAAACCATTGCACTTTATGAGTAATTGCACACACCTGTCTGGTGGATTATATGCTCCCCCCACCAACAAATCTAATGCTAAAATCACACACTAAAAAGTACTAAAAATGTACGCCAAATTTTACAAATAAAAATGTTTGTATGTGTATGTATCTCAATGATCAGGTAGGTTTCTTAGAAGAAATGATTTACAGTTCTGGTTATTTTTACTATAATTTAGAAATTTAAATATTTCTTACCTCCTTTCATCCTCCAAATCCCTCTTCTTCCTCCTTTCCCTTACATATATAACCTTATTCCCTCCCCACTTTTGCTGCACTGCTATTGAAAAGGATACACCCACTGCTTTATTAAAGGCTGGATGTCTTTGCCAGAAACATTTGAGATGGATTTCAAAAACCCAGATGTGGAAACCAACATCTGACTCCACATATGTGACTGGAACTTCTGAGATGAAGCAGTACTAGCCAAACTTAACAGTTTATTGAAAACCTATAAGGATAAAAGCACCATTAAGTAAGTTTGCATAACATTAATACGCATTGTTTTTAATTCTGTACTATCCCCACTTTGCACTATAACTTTATTAGTCAATTATAAAAGACAATAATTTCACTTACTACATAGATTGCTCTAAAGATTATTATCAGTAGAAACATGCAAAAACTTAAAGCATTAAGCCAGATCACAAAACCATTCTATCTCTAAACATAATTGAATTTTAATGATCATCTGGATAAACAGTGAATATTGCACTTCTAAGAAGTACAGTAAGAATAATGTATAATATCTCTAATTTACTGTGCTATGAGCTTTACATAGAAAAATTATTTAAGATGTTGAGAGCACTCATTAAGATATATATCACTCTATAAATAGTTGACAGGCTCATTATGCTCTCTCATTTAATATTTCTGTCCTTTAAAGGCAAAGTAAAGGACAGGATTAAAGAGACAACTCTGGGGCAAATTTTAAATGCTTTTTAAAAAAGATTATTCAAAAGTTATTTTTCACTCACATCCAAGAACATTATCAATGGGAAAAAAACAGTTGGAGATTTATAATACATCTTGTTTCTACTACCTCAACTACTTAGAGCAAAACTTGCTGAAAGTATATGGCAGAATTTGGTAATAGACAAAAAAAAAAAAAAAATTCGTTTAGATAGGTTTGCTTTTTTCTACTGAAAACATTTCTGACTTCATCCATACTATTCTAAATAATGCTGAACATAAAATGATATGCATAAAAAGGAATAACTTTCACCCTCACATTCTAATTTTATCTTCATAATAATCTTGCACTAAGTGGGTCATGAACTGACACCTATCCTAAACCTGAGGAAAAAGAAACAAAAAGCACAGTTTACTTAGTAGGCAATCATCCAATTAGTAGCAGAACTCCAGAAATAAACCCAGATGCCCTGGTTATTCTACAAATTAGTATTCAGATTATACACATACAGATCCTTCTTTACAACTGTTAAGTTCTTAGCTTTAATACTCACTTGTAGCATAAATTCCATACTGATCCTATTTTCAATCAATCTCATTACAAGGTGAGCTTTACATTGAAACATAGTGTAGTATTCCCAGGAAAGTGTATGTGGATGCTTGATAGAAAAGTGTAGATGGGATGCTGGACTAAAAAATAAAAGTAGAGAGATTTACTTAATATAACAAACTTTAATGTTAAATAAACAATAAATTTATGGCTACATCAAAACAATACATCAAAAATCTCATGGGAATACCTTAGCAATTACCTTAGGAAGAAAGCAACAAAGACTTGGAAACATATAAAAATAAATTTAACTGGAAGAAAATTATAAAATTTTATGAAAGGACATAAAGGAAAGCTTGAATAAATGGAAACACATGCCAAGCTCCTAGTCAAGAAGACACAAAAGTGTAAATATTTCATTCCGAATTCATCAATACAATCAATGCAATACTAACTGATATCCCAAGATATCATGTGCAAAAAACACTGAAGATGGATTACATATATAAGAAAAAAACAATTATAAAAGTCCTACAAGAAAATAAAGGAAAAAATTTCTTTTCAAAATTCTGGGGTAAGAAAAATTTGCTAAGAAAAAATACACTATCTAGCAGACATAAAGAGCAGACTATGTTAAAAATTAAAAATACTGACAAAAAAAAAGAGCATCAGTAAATTAAAAGAAAGGTATAGTCTAGTAGAAAATATTTGTGACATATATGAATTTAGGATGTTAACAATTTTTCACTATTTCAAGTAACAGTGAAGTGAATGTCTTCTTACACATGTGCAAGTATTACTGTATTGCAAAAACCTAGAAGAAGAATTTCTATAGGATAACATACCTAGAAGTGGACATGCTGAATCTAAAAATTATCCATTCTAAAATTTTGCTTGTTACCAACAAATTACCCTTCAAAAGTCATACCACCAAATTATACTCTCACAATCAATAAGAGTAGTCATTATGCTTCCTTGTAAACATGGCATACTGAAATTTAAATTATTTATAAATTAAATACTTGAAAAATTACTTTTATATTTTACTTATTACTTCAAAGCTTTCCATTTATAAGCCTTAGCAGTGGACAGCAATATGGAAAAGGTTACATAAATTCCAAGGTATAATAGAGTACTACATAGCACTCTTAAATGGAACAAAGTAAATTTATGTAGTCACATAGAATACTTGCCAAAATACATAGATACGGTTAATTTTTTTTTAAAGTACAGTACACATGAATGATTTACATTGAGTAAATGCCATACATTAAAATGGCCTAAAGCAATATTCCATACTTATGATCATGGTTATGTTCAAGGAGAGAAACGTGGAAGTCAGGAGTGGTTAAAGAAGGCTTTTTATTTTTTACTCCACATGCTTGTCAATTATCTTGCTTCGAATTTCTTCAAACAGCATGTATTCATGTGCTGTTTCCATACACAAATTTTAAAAATTAAACATACAATAAGAACTAAATAAATGACAGAATCAAGGTAAAAGAATTTAGTGTAAATAATATTTATACACAATGGGACTGCTCCATACTGGGGAAGTGTCATCCAACAGCAGGCAGTCAGGGGTAAGAAAGTGAAAGGAACTACTATTTATTTAGTGATACATAGTACACATGAAGATTTATTTTAATTAATCGTCATAATCAACCTGATTAAGATGTATCATCACTGTCATTTTACACATTTCAAGATACACACACACACACTGAGAAAGGTATGCAATTTTCTTAAATCACAAAAATTAATAGCAATAAACTATATTTGTCTAACTCCAAATTCCTGTGCTTTCCCAGTGATTTAATATTTTCTCAGTGACCATGATACAATAACAAAAAGGCTACTAGTTGCACAACTTCAAGTTTTTAGCCTTTGTTTTGCTTTTAGACACTTGGCAGTCTGGTTAATCCTATAGGCCGCATGTGAGAAACTTTTAAATTCACAAAACAAAGTATACAGAATTACACAGAAACCAAATATAAGGAAATACAGTTACCAAAATAAAAAAAAATTATATACCAATAAAAGTGCTAGTTTATTATGCATTAAATAACAAGATCTAGCAATGCTCTACTGTCACAATTTTGAGGTAGTGATGAGTGCAAAGAATATTTCAAGATATCTGCTAACAATTATTATGTAACAGGAAAATACCCATGATTTCTATTTTCACAAAGCCATTTTCTATTGCCTACATTCTTAATTAAGGAAATATAAAATTTCAATTAACGGTTAGTGAAAATACAGAAAAATTTTCCCATCTAATTCAATCCATATTCCCTTAGGGTCTCCATGGAACCTAGAAATAAGATCACCTACTAGCACCATTATTTTGTTATAAGTGGCTATCTCCTTTATAGTGACTTGCTAATAAACAGAAAAGAGTAAGGGAAAGAAAGGAAGTAAGGTAAGGGAGGGAAATAAAAGGAAAGAGTAAATAAGTGTCTAGGTAGGTGACCATTCAGATAAATAGGTGTAGGTATGATATCCTGATGCTGAAATTATCTACTCAGACTTTAACAAAAATCAGTAATGCATAGCAAAATAATTGTTTCCATTACTTTTAAACTTTTATGAATATAGCATATTTCAACATCAGGAAATTAACACAGACAAGAGAAAACCTTGTATTTGTTAAGAGTCTTTAACGTTTCAGTCCATTTATAGCTATCACATACAGTGACAACAATGAAGTGACGACAGGAATAATGAGACTACTACCAGTGTTTGTGACCTCAATATCATCACAAACTATTATCACTACTCCTTTCGCCTGTGTGGGCCTCGACACAAGTAGAAGCAACCCCAAAAGAGTGATCCCGTAAGACAAGTTTCATAATATTATCTCTAGATAATAAACATACTTATCCTTCTCTTTTCCTCCACCAAATATGGGGTGTAGTAAAACTCCACCAGTTTTTAGTTCATATGCCACTATCTTGTCTAGTTCCTAAAGAAAGATATAAAAATAGGAGTCAGTGAAAATTTTTTTTCGTATCAAATTTAGAACTTAAATATGATTTCTCATTTCCTGGAACTAGAACATAAATTTCTTAAAATAAATTAAATATATTTGTAGAGTAGTTTATGTTCTCATAAACAAAATAGACTACACAGCTGGCTGAATGATAGAGCAAAAACCCTTTACTACTTTGTGACTTTAGAGCTGGCCAGTAGCCTGGCACCATTTCCTAATGGCTCTTCCTAACTTCTCTGACCTGTGTTTCAAGTTTATTTCTTCTCTGTATTTTGCTTCTGGTGGAGGCAAGTTAAAGAAAAAAAAATGGGGATAAGATTATATCAGGAATCTATCATTTTAAAACTTTTCCAGTCTTCTCAAATATGACATAGATCAAAGTAAAACAAGTTTAAGTGAAAAAAAGACAACACAATTGTGCTGGAAACTCATGACTAGTTTAAATAACATACAAGTAGTATAGGTGGTAAAAATCAAAGTGAAGTGTTAAAAAGCCAAGTTTGAATTCTGATTTTACTACTTACTAGCTTTGTTAACTTAGGCCAAATAACTTATCCTCTCTGTGACTGTTTCCTCATCTGTAAAATGGGGATAATAACAGGGTATTTAGTATTAAGATAGTTAATATTTATAAAATGTTTTTAATAGTGCCCAAAACATTGTAAATACTGTATGTTTTTCCCCTTCATTAATAGCTCCTAAAACGAAGACTGTATTCTACCAGTTATATATGTATGAATTCTTTCATAGTTTCACATGTTTGACATCTTTTGCAATTACTTTCAGCTTACTTGAGTTTAAGTTGGGTGATGAACATATATAAAATCAGATAAGGGGAAAGGTGGAAGGGTCTACTTAACAAGGATATTAAAGATTTAAATTTTTCCACCTGAGAAAGAAGAAGCTAAACGAATGGGCTTGGCAAAATACAGATGATTTCTTTTTGGCCATATCTTTAAATTTAAAAATGTGACAATGACAGTAAACATAAACTCACTGATATAACTTGCCAGAATTATATCAGGAATCTATCATTTTAAAACTTTTCCAGTCTTCTCAAATATGACATAGATCAAAGTAAAACAAGTTTAAGTGAAAAAAAGACAACACAATTGTGCTGGAAACTCATGACTAGTTTAAATAACATACAAGTAGTATAGGTGGTAAAAATCAAAGTGAAGTGTTAAAAAGCCAAGTTTGAATTCTGATTTTACTACTTACTAGCTTTGTTAACTTAGGCCAAATAACTTATCCTCTCTGTGACTGTTTCCTCATCTGTAAAATGGGGATAATAACAGGGTATTTAGTATTAAGATAGTTAATATTTATAAAATGTTTTTAATAGTGCCCAAAACATTGTAAATACTGTATGTTTTTCCCCTTCATTAATAGCTCCTAAAACGAAGACTGTATTCTACCAGTTATATATGTATGAATTCTTTCATAGTTTCACATGTTTGACATCTTTTGCAATTACTTTCAGCTTACTTGAGTTTAAGTTGGGTGATTAACATATATAAAATCAGATAAGGGGAAAGGTGGAAGGGTCTACTTAACAAGGATATTAAAGATTTAAATTTTTCCACCTGAGAAAGAAGAAGCTAAACGAATGGGCTTGGCAAAATACAGATGATTTCTTTTTGGCCATATCTTTAAATTTAAAAATGTGACAATGACAGTAAACATAAACTCACTGATATAACTTGCCAGCATAAAATGTAAAGCACTTAAAATGTACAAAGCACCCTGCAGATTACACATACAATGTCTCATAATCCCCTTCATGGGGGTAGATACTACTACCACTCTCTTTATACAGATGAGGTTTGGAAAGATTAGCCAAAGTCACAAAGCTTGTAAATGTATGAGGCAGGTTAAAAAGAAATCTGACTCCAGAATCTGGCTCTAAGTCTAAACAAATATACAAAGTACAGAATTACATTAAAAATGACCACTGTAAGAAGCTGGGATGTATCTAATAGCTAAGTTGATGTTGAAGGAGCTTAAATATTATTTTCATTAGCAAAAAATGTCTTTGGAAGCCAACACTGAATGGAAACTAGATAGAACAAACCATTATTCTTTTGCAATATAGTGATTCTCACATTGCTGAGAAAAATTAGGAACTTTCAAATGACAAAAAGCATTTTACAGTTATTAAAAATAAAGAACATGTGACTCAGCAATCAAAACACTAACATAATAACTTCTAATACTGACTTCTAAGTGGATAATAGATATGCTTGTACCTCTTTGATCCAGTGGCGATATTCATTAACACCAAAAGTTTTTTTCATCCAAAGTCCATAAATATAGCCTGAAATTCCCTTCAGTACCCATTCATCAGACCTAAGCAAAAAGTCAAAATATAAACTTCTTTGATCATAAAAATTCTTCAGATAAGGACAAAGGGGAGAACAAAACAAGCATAGTGTGTACTTCTCTGCCTTCTTAAAGAAAATTAAGTTCTTAACAAACTATTTGGTTTCCCACTTCCTCCGGTTGGGTTCTACTTGTCCATTACCTTCTTCCTATCTGGCTTCACCTGTAATTACAAGACTGCTCTACAGTCTTATTTCAAGTATAATGTACCTACAGTTTGTGCTGTGCTCTGGCAGTGCTGCTTCGCTGTTGCCCAACTCTGTCCATACTGCCTGCCTCTAAGGAAGTATTGCCAGAACTGTACAGCTCAATTCTTAAAAGTCCACATTTGCCAATTTCATATATAATTACCAGCAGGATTCCAAAGCCTAAAGTTCAATTACTTAATTTATTTTTGGTTTCTCAAGCGTAAGGACAATTGACAAACTGACACCATTCATTCATTTATTCATTTGTATGTTTAATCCATTCATTCACTCAAACATTTTGCCTACCATGTTTCAGGAACTATTCTTTGATAAAAGTTTCTCATTCAATTTTAGGAAAATTACAAATCAACAGACCTTACCCTCTTGTCCTCACCCCTCTAACAAGATAGAAAAAGAAACCAAGATTCACATACTAGATATAGCACAGAATGATCAAAATTATAATCTTAAGGGAGTTTCATGTATCTCTTCAAATTCAAGTTAAAAAGAAAATAAAAAGCATTCTCATCTCTCTCATCTTTTAAGTAAATTAGTACAAAGTTAAGCACTAATAGGAAAATCCTTACATCATTATCATTATTATAGAGAACCATTATTTTGCCTTAACGATTATCTTGAACATTACCAATTGCACTGAACATGAATTAGAATTCTAATGATAGTTTTCTGCAAGTTCAAGGCTTCATTTGCTCTCAAACTTCTTACCTTATTCTTATTGCAAATTGCAAAACTAACTATTCTGAATTCATGGCCAAAAATTTAGGATGAAATTTATACTCATTATTTTTGTCTGAAAAAATATATATAGGATAGTGTCTTTTAAATTAAGTATCTGCAGTTAAGACAAAGATCAGCTTACATTGCAGGAACAGAAAATAAAAATAAACTTTCCTGATTCTTCTTCTCAGTAGCTGTAAATTTTGAACTTACCAAGACATTCTGGATATGAAACATCCAAAAAACTGCTGGGCCAAGGACTGGGCTAAACACCTTCTAGTCAAAGGTGTCTCATCTATAATCATTGCACTGTGCAACAGATTTGTGCTGGAATTTAGAAAAGACAGCTAATTTTAACCAAGAAATAAGCAGTAATTAAATAAATAATCACACTTTTTTTTATTAAAGTATCACTGACATAGAATCTTCTGTTGGTTTCAAATATACAACACAACAGTTTCAACAATTACCCATATTATTGAATCCTCACCCTCTCCAGTATAGTCACTATCTATCAACGTAGGAAGATGTTACAGAACCATTAACTATATTTTCTGTGCTATACTACCATCCCCATTACCAACCTAAATTGTGAAAATAATCACACTTCTAAAATAAGGGAATATAAGTTAGACATAAAATAGGAAGACCAGAATATTCTCCCAGAGCTTTCACATCTTTCTTTTTGGGGGGAAGGAGGAAGCTGATGTGTTAATCAGAAACTGATCCTACCATGAAGAGCTCTCTAATGTTAAAAGATCTCAATAGTAAATACTAATTTTGGGGGCTCTATTATTTACTCAAATACACTTACCCAAAAGATTTTTCTAACACTTCGGAGAATGCAGGGCATTATTATTACCATTTTACAAATGAGAAAATTCAGGCCCAGAAAGGTTAAAATAATTATCTTGAGGCATAAAATCTCTAAATTTGGAACTTCTTAAGAAATAAAAGAAAGGAGGGCTATAAAAAAAAGAAAATGAAGTTCACTCTCTCTTTTTGTTTTGCAAACAAATTTCTAGTATCAGTGAATTTTTAAACAGTGCTAGGAAAAAACCTCCACTAGTTATCCATACAATAGCTTGCATGATTTCCTAAAACTGTATAAGCAAAAAAGCGACTAAAAAATATGCAAAATGCTAGTATCAGTTAATTCTGAATGAAAATAATGTGAGTCTTTAGGGTTATTTTGAAAATTTTTTATGCTTTTTCTATAGTTTCAATTTTTAAAAACATGGTATCTTGCACAAAACCAACCATAGCTAAATTAATGGGAAAAAGTTTTAAACATAGAAATAATCTGTTTTCACATCATGACCCTGATTTAGGCATTTCAAATTTAAAGAGATTAAAAAAAAAAAATTTAAAGAGATACCCACCTAAAAATGCTCATAGAAGCATAAGCAGCTACTTCAACATAAGCCTCATCAATGAATACAGTCTTAAAACAGGAGTATGGGTATCGACATGTAAGAATTTCTTCATAAAATTCAAAAACTTCATGAAGATATGACGTGGTATGTTTAAGCAATGGAAGAAGTTGAGGTAAACAAAAATGAGTAACCTGAAAATAAAAAACAGGGAAGGGATATCATTAAATGAAAATGTTAACTTTAATATTTTAAATTTTCTAAGTATCTATATTATAAATAAAGTTTCTTCATATAAATCCTTTTTTTTCTTTTTAACAAATTCATGGCACTGAAATAAAATATGGGTGTGAAATTAGGGTTATTTTTACTGACTATGTTCACAAATATTCATTGAACTTAAAAATTAAATTCATGATGAAATATAAGTCTGTGAAATGTTTAGATCCAATGAAAATATAATTTTGGTTCCTAATCAAACTTTCTTCTGCATATGCATACAAAACAAAAATAATTTAAATTTCTAAGACTTAGTGCAAATCCTCCTTTGACTCACAGATATCTAATTTTGTGACTATTGCACCTGTCACAGTACTACACTAATAGTTATAAATTTTAATCATACTACCTTCATTACACGTAACAAACCATTACTGTAGTCCTCCTCTAACATCTCAACTACATATTTAATGATGAAGAGCTTATGCAGGAGATAATAAGAAATGCCAGCAATAAAAACAGTAATTCTGATTTTCTTACTATGTTAACATCCCACCTTGGACATAGCCACTCAAATATCACACACCATCTCATCCTATTTTACAATTACATGCCAAATAAGTAGCATTAACAATGACAGAAATTACTCTGAGTAGAATGACCCAGTAAGTTTTCACACAGGAGGCTGAATTTAGGTAGTCTTCTGAATTGGACACAAGTTTGATAGGTAAGGAAATGTAAAGTGGACATCCAGAGTCAAAGAAACAAGTACAATACGGTCAGAAAAATCTAAGTAAATTATATTGAATATAAAATTGATAAATCCGAAAGCAATGGGAAAAAAGCTAAAAGGGAAAATCAGGATCAAATTCTAAAAGATCTTGAAAGATATGTTAAAGAGTTCCAATTACTATAGGGTTGTAGAGGCAAGGAAAGTTTTTAATGTATGATAAAAATTATTCTTCTCACACCACTATATAAAAACAGATTACAGATCACCATAAATGAATGGTAAGCATCTATGTATTATTAATGGTCAGCGTTCAAACTGCACCATGATTAGCACTCTTCTTTGTACACAAATAAAAAATAACATACAACTCATCCAAAAAAAGATTCACTTTTAGAAAAACCTACATGATAGCAAATTTACGGATAATGCAGTAAAACTATATGAAACAGAAAAGGACTAAGTTATGGCTTCTAAGTATTCAAGAAAATACTTCTTGACTGTCATTTACCTTTCTCCCATCCAATAGCTCAGAGTAGGAAAAAAAAATTCTTCCAAAATACAAAGTAAGTAGAAAACATAGGCAAAAATCTCTTGAACATAATAAGTTTGAGCCATTTTTTCCCTGGATACATCTCCTTGGGCAAGGAAAGTAAAATAAAAAATTAACAAGTGGGACCATATCAAACTAAAAAGCTTCTGTATAGCAAAGGACACCATCAGCAGAACAAAAAGGCAACCTATATAGTAAGGAGAATATATTCATAAATGATTTATCTGATAAGGGGTTAACATGCAAAATATATGAAGAGTAAATATAATTTAAAGTCATAGTCGAGAGAGCAAAAGCAAAACCATTCATAAAATATCTCTAATCTTCTATGAGTGATTTTTTTAATTTTGTGAATTTCAGGAAAGCAAATATAAAAAGACTGAGAAACTTAATAACAATCTAACTGTGGTTGCCCTCTATTTTTGCCCAAAGAACTGAAAGAAATGCTAAGATATACATGGTCATAATATAAACCTTTTATTTAAAAAGAAATAAATCCAACTAAAATTGAAACAACGAAGAACTAAGAATAAAAAAAAAGAGATCCATTCAAATGTTACTTTAAGCACGTACAAAAGTCAGGAGGGTCAATAAAGAATGAGTCACTTTGTAACCACCAGAAATCTCATGCTTGGATAGCACTATTGGCCTATCAATTGACATAAGATCTGTGGCAAGACATGAGATGGGAGGAAACTGAGAGAAGCCTTGATGACAAAAGTCTAACCCTGCCTCAGCCTTTTCTCTTTTCTTTTGTACATGTTGAACTGAGAACAAACTCGCTCTTTAATTTTGAAACTGCAGTATTTCAGATTCCATCATGGGACTATAACATTTATAATGTTGAACATTAAGATGACATTAACACAAATTAGCTACAGAAATCAACTTATACTCTAATCAAGGTATACTTGAAGATCTTCTGGAATACAAAGCCCTCTGTTGAAAAAAATGTTAAATTTTAGTATGACAACATTTTAAAAAGAATTCACTCATTCAAAATTTTACATCATTAAATATATCAGATAAGGAAACCTTTTCTCTCTAGTGATATTCTTAATAGTTAAAGAAAGGTTAAGAAAAACTTGGTTACGAAAAACTTATCTGGAGAGAAAGGGTAAGAGTACAGAGAGGAGCAAGAAGCTATGACTTACCTCATGCATATACGGATCTACAAGTATTTCAAAAGGTCCAATGGCCAAGGAGATATTTGAGGCAGCTGTTGGGATGGTAAGCATGTAATGGAAGGTCTTCTTCCTCATATCATGAGTATACACTGTCTCCACCAAATCTCCATTGGAAACAGCCACCATTGCAGCATCTACTGTAAATTCCAATTTCCATGTACATAATTCAGAATATGAATCAACACATGGGAACCAAAATCTAGAGAAAAGATCAACAGTACAGAAATGCATTGAAGTATAATCTACATTTATTTTCCCCACTTCTAAGTTATTTTAACATTTGTAGAATACAAACAAAAAGAAACTTAAGCTATTTGCACACTGAAGCTTTTTACTGTGCAACTTGAAAGAATTTGACTAAAACAGAAATCCATCTCCAAATATTATTTGTAATATTAAGAAAATATATCATGTGGTACTGCCAGTTCAAACCCTAAAAAGATAAACAATTCTGCAGTTTCCCATTTTTAAAATAAAAATAATTTTCATTTGTATATTCACCATTAGTCAGTTTTTATCTAGCATTTTCAGCAAAAAAAACTTATAATAAGGTTTTAAAAATACAATATTCAGAACCTATTCGTAAGTCAGGAAACTGCATTTTCAAGTATGTGATGTACTGTATAAATTCAAACAGTGCTGGTAGAGGCAGAAATAAAAATTCTGTCTGAGTATAACACACAGAAGACAAGGAGTGACTCTATAGCATCTTACTAGACTGATGGACAGTGACAATGGAATGTGGGGGAGGGACTCAATAATATGGGTGAATGTAGTAACCACGTTGTTGCTCATGTGAAACCTTCATAAGATTGTATATTAATGATACCTTACTAAAATAAATAAATAAATAGAAAATTTGTTTGACCTTGCTATCAATTCAGGATAGTTTATGTTACGTGCCAGGGTCTATACTTAGTACTAAAACACATACAAGGCATCATCCCTTGTGTGGAGGAGTTAATAATCTGAGGGTTATTATAGTAACCTGAGTAAAGTACACATATTACAAGATATTTTAATAACATGTAGTTAACTATAGAGATGAGAATGAATAATTACACACAACAACGAAGGTAAATCTCATTGCCGTAGTGTTGAACAAAAAAGCCAGATATAAAAAGCATAATGCATATGCTTTTTTTAACATCAAGTTCAAAACAGGTGCTGTCAAGGATGGTATTTTAGAAATCAGGATAGTGCTTACACTTAGGCAGGAGGATATCAGGTGAGGAAGTAGCAAATGAAAATGGAAGGGGGGCGGGGCTCTGTCATGTTAACATTCTTTTTTGTGACGTGACTTTGTTTTACATGGATTTGTTTGTTTACATGGAAACAAACAAATGGATTATATGGTTTGTTTACTTGTGAAAATTTACTGAACTTCTATTTACAATTTTTGTAATTTTCTGTAAGATGTCGTTTTCAACATGAAGTTAAAAAAAAACAAAAACTGAGATTATATTAGTATGGTAGACCTGAAAAGGAAAGAGAAGAGGGAAGACACAGGATTAAGGAGGAATGACTAATGAAACAAGATTAAGAAGATGTAGAAATGTGAGACACTTACACTTCCCATCTTACCCTAAATACAAATATTGCATATACACAGAAAAAAATGCAACTGAAAAATGAGATTAACTGAAACATATAAGAATTAATAATCTACCTTGTGGAATTTTGATACCCACAAGAGAAAACATGAGCACCTCTCTCTGCCATACTTCCCTCTACACTGGGTACCACAAAATGAAGACCTCCTTTTGGCTGATCCAAAGAAAAGTTGATGTGTATCTTTAGGACCTTTAATTCTGCAACAAATAAATACACACATATATCACTGTATAAATACATAATTAAGTAACAGTGGTCTGTATACTAAGGGCAAAGACTTACACTGAACACAAAATGGGAATCAAAGACTTAAGTTTTACATGGAAAACCATACTTAACTTAGTTTAGGCTTTCACCATCTCTCTGCTTGTATGAACTCATTAGTCAGCCTCCACTGGTATCCTTACTTTCACTCAATTCTAGTCACTGCCAGCTATGTTCTCCAAAAATATAACTCTGCTCATGCCATATCCTCCTCTTAACACTTCTGACAATGCTATACTGTACTGCCTAGAGAGTTCAAAACTATCATACAGGACACTTAAGGCCTTCCAGATTCAACTCAATACTTGTCAAGTTTGTTCTCTTCTCACATTCCCCCCTAGATTGTTACCTTAGTTGCCTTCAGGGAGCAAAAGGAGCTGGGGGTAGAGAGTATGGAAGGACTACCCAAGCATTTACATTAGGTATTATTTATTATCTTATGTTTGATTTCTACATAATAAATGTATTGCTTTCATAATAAGATTGAAAGATGTTTCTTTTAATTTCCCACAAAACATTACAACCACATGGGCTATCTCCAATCCCTAAACATGCACCGATCACTTTCCATGCCTGTCCCCTAAGTTGGGCAACTCCCACCCCCGCAAAAAATTCCATCCCACGAACAAAAACACGATAAAAAAAAAAAACAGAACCAAAACAAAGTTTTTTACTCTTCATTATCTTGGTTATTTTTTATAAGGTTAAATAATGCATAATTATTATAATGGCTATAACTTCATATAAAAAGAAAATAAACTTTAAAATAGTAAGGCAGAGTATGCTTAAAAGTATGCAGAGGTGGGCATTAGGAACCCTATGATCTAGCCTTGACTCTACTACTAATTAGTGACCTTTAGCATGCTCCTACTCTTCTCTTTGAAGTTCAGATTACTTTTCTGCAAAAGGGAGGAATTGAACCATACAATATTTTACGATCCTTCCTGCTATAAAATGCTATAATTCTAAATTGACCTGATATTGCATAGATTCTCAAATTGTAACAAATTGTTTCATCCATCTCATTTTTCTTTGGTAACTTTCATTTAAAAAAAAACAGTGAAATGAGTTGCTTTTGCTCAAAACCCTTGACTGCTATTTTCCTGTTAGCCAGTAATCCTCAAGAAAAAAAGAGTTCCAACACTTTTATACTTCAACTGATAAACTTACAATTTTGATATCATTAATTTACATGTAAAAGTTTCTGGTCACTGCATCTAGCATGATTTTATTATGCAATCATATATTTTCATATTTTACCATCAACATGTTTCCATAACTCTGATGGAACCTTAATGCAAAGTTCTCCATTTCCTGCATCAGGATCTACAGCACTAACTGCAGCTGCATAAGCATTGGAAAAATAATTGAGATTTCTCCTAGAAAAAAAGAAGAGTCAACCTTAATAAGCCATGTATATCACCAAACACTTTCTTAAATGAATGCACCATTTGTAAACATTGTATTTTACATAATTAAGAATGCTTCTTGTAACTGTTGCTCTTCTCACCAAGACAAAAACTATTAAACTATAAATACAATTGATCCACTCTCCAATGCTATATGATTATTACTGGCATACCTCAGAGATATTGTGGGTTAAATTACAGACCAAGGAAATAAAGTGTGTCATATAAAAGTTATGTTTACACTATATACTGTGGTGTATTAAGTGTGCAATAATAGCATTATGTCTTAAAAAAAAACCTAACTTTAAAATACTTTATTGCTAAAAAATGCTAACCATCAACTGAGCTTTCAGAAAGTCATACTCTTTTTCCTGGTGGAAGATCTTCCCTCCATGTTATGGCTGCTGACTCATCAGGCTGGTGTTGCTGAAGGTCAGAGTGGTTGTCGCATTTTCTCAAAATAAAACAACGGTGAAGGTTGTTACACTGATTGACTCTTTCACAAATGATTTGTCTGTAGCATGAGATGCTGTTATATAGTATTTTTTACCCTTAGTAGAATATAATTTCTGACTCCTCAAAAACTTAACCACTAGTAGCCGCTGTTGACTGGAAGCCTTATCAAAAACACGAACAACTGATTAACACATATTTTCAATGTCATATATATATTATATACTATATTCTTACAATAAAGTAAGCTAGAGAAAAGAAAATGTTTTTTCAAACTGTCAAAAATATTCGGTTATCCAATATATTTATTGAAAAAAATCTGCACATATATGAACTTGCACAAGTTTAAACACATATTGTTCAAAGATCAACTGTGTGTGTGTTTATCTACACACACACATACACACACACATACAGACTTTCCTTGACTTACAGTGGGGTTATGTCTCAAATTCACCATAAGTTGAAAACATAGGTTGAAAATATATTTAATACACCTAATGTACTAAAAATTACAGCTTAGCCTGACCTACCTTAAACATGCTCAGAACACTTACATTAGGCTATAAGTGGGCAAAATCACCAAACACAAAGCCTATTCTATAACAGTGTTGAGTTATCTCATGCAGTTTATTGAATATTGTACTGAACATGAAAAGCAGAAGGGTTGTATGGGTTTAGAATGGTACTTATCAGTTGTTTAACCTCATGATCAGGTGGTTGACAGGGAGCTGCCCAGCATTATAGGAGTATTGTACTGCATATTACTAGCCCAGGAGAAGACCAAACTTCAAGGTATGATTTCTTCTGAACAAATACTACTTTTGCACCATTGTGAAGTCAAAAAATCCTAAGTCTGACTATCGCAAATTGGGGACCATCTGTACACAAATGACATTTCTTCACTGAAATCAGTTGAAGAAATAAGGAAGAAATGAAAGGAAGGAAAAAAAAAGGAAAGGAATGGCAAGAGCAAGAAAACAAGATGAAAGAAACACCACTATGAACCATACACACTCTTGATATTGTGCACCTTTATGTCTATCTTCTTGCCATTAGATGAATCCATACGGTAAAGTTAGTGGCATTTCACTAGCTTAATAATTTTTTTAACCTAGTTAAAAGTTTAAAATGCTCTAAAGAGTGATTTATAGGAAAAATAAAATGGGAAAAGACATTCAAGAAAACATTAAAGTTACTTGACAGAGGCCATTCCTCCCCCATCAACATCCTCCATTAATTAGGAAGGACATATTAACTAGACTCTTAACAACTACACAACATAAGGTTCTAGAAGTGGTTAAACAGACTGCTCAATAATTTTAACAATTTATTTCTGTTTAATAAATATGTAAAATGAAAGGTATAAAAACTCCAGGACTGTAATAAAAAAAATAAACCTTTTTTGAATACCACCTACTTCTTAAAAAATTATCATATAGTAAAAGTGACTTTTTTTCCTTTGGTATGTATATAACTCTGTAAGTTTTAACACATACATAACAATGACCAGAATCAAGATACAGAATAGTTCCATCATCCCAAAAAGTCCCTTGTGCTAAGTCTTACATCAATTAAATGGAATCACACAGAATGCAACCTTGTGAGACAGGCTTGTCTCATTCAGTATGTCTTTGATATTTAGCTAAGGTGTTACATGCATCAACAGTTTATTCCTTGTATCATGAATAATACTCCATTGTATAGACTGTGCCACAGATTTGTACAGATTATTGTTTTTATCATTCACCCACTGAAGGACACCTGACTGTTTTCAGCCTTTGGCTATCACAATTAAAATTGCCAGAAACAACTACTCATGGAATTTAACTTTCATTTCTGTAGTACAAATACCTAAGAGTGGTACTGCTGAGTCATATGGTAAATATATGTTTAGATTTATAAGAATCTGCCAAACTGTCTTCCAGAATGGCTATGTTATTCTGCATTCCCTCCAGCAATATAAAAGCACAAGTTCTCCACATCCTTGCTGGCACTTAGTTAACATACCATACAAGACTACTTTGTACATCTATGGATTTTAATTTATTTCCAATAATATTTCAAAAACGTGAAATCTGAAAGCTGAAAAACTTGACATTTTCCCCCAGTTATCTGTGAAATTCAAAATTAAAACATAATCATTACACAAAAGGCCAAATTAAAACATTATGTATTAGGCTACTCAGTTTTTTTAATGAGAAATTATTCTCAATCTCATTTCCTAAGAAAAGGTAAAGTGGTCCAAATAAAATGGTGAGTCATAAATGGAATCTACTGGGAAATGAGTTTTTAGGAACAGTCTCACGGTTTGGATTTCAGTGTTTCCTTTCATAACACAAATCAAGTATGTTTCACTTCATAATAACCTCATAAAAGCCAAAAATTACAGGGCAAGATTATAATAAATTTTCTCAATTTTCAGAATAATGACTGCAAAATATTAATGTGCCCCTGCCCCACAGCCACCACCATCTCCAGCCCCTCTTCAAGGAAACAAAGCTTAAACACTAGTACTGCTGCGCAGGATACTGAAAAACTATCAAATGAAGGGTAATCAAAATCATTTTCTCCCATAACCTACATAAACATCCATGTTATACTAAAATAATCTGTTAATTACTTGTCAAATAAACATGTGCTGCTTAAAACTATAGGTGCAGATTCTGCAAAACTTAAGATTCAATTACTTGTAAACTTATTCCCTATTTTTAAAAAATTTCATGTATGCAAAATATACATTAGGAAAGTATATATACTCTAAGTATACAGCCCAATGAGTTTTCACAAAACCAAAGTAGCCAGCATGCAGACCAAGATCAGAACTTTACCAGCTTCCTAAAAGTCCTCTTGTGCCCTCTTGTAATTACTATCGAAGCCCTCTTTCCCAATAAAGGTAACCTATATTCTCACATCTAATGTGATAGGTTAACAACTTAATATACATACTTTTGTGTCTGATTTATTTTGCTCAACATTAAGTTTTGAGATCCATCCATATGACTGTATGTATTTGTTGGTCTTCCATTATCATTACTATTTAGAATTCCAACAGTGTAAGAATATACAAAATCTATCTTTCACCATTGATGAATCAGGTAATTTCCAGTTTTGATTACTACAAATGCTGCTGCAAACATTTAGGTACATGTATTTTTTTAATTGAAGTATCATTGATAATTTTGTACATACTTTTTGATGAACATAATGAACATGACTCTGTTGGGTATATACCAGAGTGAAACTGCCAGTCATAGAGTATGTACATATTCAGCCTAAATCTACATTTCTATTAGCAGTGTTTGGGAGTTTGAGTTATTCTATATCCTTGTTAACACTCCATTTTTCTTCTGTTTTTAGTTTTAATATTTAATATATAGAAAGCAAAATAAACTAACCAACAGAAATACTCATTTTCCAGAAATTGAACCAATACCAAAATTAATAAAGATGACTTTTTAAAAATAATCAGAACATTTGCTATATTACCATGAAATAATATTGCTTAGACAAAACTCTATCTTAACAGGTTTTTGTATGCAAAAACCTACGGGATTTCACTGATTATAAGCTCAAGCTTGAGCTAACTACTTAAAGTAGCCATTTGTGAAAGGCTCATGAATTTCAAGCTACTAGAAATACTGAATATAGATAAGGACAAAACAGTCTACTGCTATGCATTTGTTAGTCCAAAGGAAAAGAACTAGTTCTAGGATTATAGTTCTAAGGTTACCGCACTTAAGAAAATACAATGCTAAACCAGAGAGTATTCATAGGTGTGCAAAGAGAATGGTAAGAAATTTAGAAAGCATTTTAGATGAGAAATGGTTGAGTATTGAGATTCTGCAGACCGGGAAAAGAAACCTCAAGGGAAAACAATACTTAATTAAGATAAGTTCATAAATATTACAGCAAACAGAACGTAGCTTGATGTAAGAACTTACTAGTCTAGAAGTAACAAAAGGGGTGCATTGAAATATACTGTGCTCTCTAAAGCCAAAAGCATTCAAGCAAAAGGTGGAATAGTACAGGTAAAGTTCCAGTTGAAGTTTTGACTAGATAAATGCTAATGTTCCCCCAACTATGACAATTTAATCCCAAACTATATTAAAACAACTGGCAGTGAGGCATTGTGGCTGATACAACATATAAGTATCCATATTACTTAAACATAATCAATAAGGAAATCAACCACTTTACTGTTCTATATTAGTAAAAAAATA